TTATTATTATTATTAATATGTTTGGAGAGAATTCCCTAAATAAGAGTAAAAATGTTTTGAAATTCCAAAATAGAAGTATCATGTTTTGTATGAGACCCTATATCGTACACCCGGGTGTACGTACACCCGGTATTTTTGCAATTATTTCTAATTTAAAGGGTTATAATCGGATCTTGCTTCTTCCGTCTGCTGTCTCGGCCTGTCTGCATCCTTCCCGCGTAGGTCGTACAGTGGGCGTGTGTGGAGACTATTGCTTCACCGTAGTTCCATTTTCTTAAGCAGAGGTCGTCCGCATCCTCTTTTGCTTTCTCCGGAGTATTTTTGTCACTACGTAGTTCTTCTTTTTTATTTCTCATTCTTTTTTTTCTTAATCACCTTTTCCATTGATTTCAACTTATGAATTTTTAATGTGTTAGTGTTTTATTTTTCTATTTTTAATTTAACATGAATATTTATTAGTTTATTAAATATTATGTGCTAATGACTAAAATGAGTTTTGTGTTATACTAAAATGAGTAAACATTATAAAAAGAACCCGGTTATATTTATTTGTTATTCCAGAATGAAAGACTATAAGTTATATTTTAACATAAAATTATCATTTGAAATGTTTTTATAAAAGAAAAAATAAGAAAGAGAAAATGACTTAGATGACATGAAGAAGAGATCGTGATGCTCATTATTTGGTTTCTAGTACTCAATAGAATAGGCCAGATATTCAGTAAACATACTTAATGCTCATTTAGCAAAAGCCGTGATTTTTCGCTTAAATTACAAAAATGCCACAGTTTTCTTAGCTTGTACGGAGTATCAGTTATTGGACTGTCTTCCTTAGTTAGGTCGGGTGTACATACACCTGGATGTATGATACTCAACAGAATAGGTGTGGTGCTCATCAAACGTTCATTAATGCTCATTTAACAAAAACCGTAATTTTCATCTCAATAAAGGGGGTTTGATGCTCAACGAAAATTTCATTTATCATCAACTCCTGTGAACTTCAACATTTGAATCTAATGTAGAATAGTACTTTTAAAAATGCATTGATATGACATTTACAAAATGAGTACACGCGCAGTACCAGATGAGCATACGTAACTTACAAAATGAGTATTAATCAATTTGTTAGTTCCTTTGTTAGTTGAACATCACGACATTTTCATTGAGCATCAAACCTCCTCAATTGAGATTGATGAAAATCATGATTTCTTTAAAATGAGCATTAATGAATTTTTAATGAGCATCAGACCTATACAAATGAGCAAATGTAACTTACAAGTTGGGCATCGATATGAAAATTGTAGGTTTTGTTCGTTGAACATCCAGACATTTCCAGTGAGCATCAAACCTTCGTTATTGAGTATTAGAATTTGTGATTGAGTATCATGATTTCTGGTCTCGTGTCTTTAATCAACTCTTGTATAAATCTAATGTAATATGAGACTTTTGAAATATGCATTGCTAAAACATTTTTAAAATGAGCGTAACAGAGATGTTAAATGAATATACATACCTTACAAAATGAGTATCCGAAAATTCAAAATCTCATTTGTGTATGTTCATTTTTTTAGGCGTTTTACTCATTTGAGTTCAAAGTAAAACTCATTTCTTTAATATTTATTTTACACTATGTTCATTTTAGTAATTAGAAATATTCATCTGAAATTAGTAAACTCTAAATATTCATCTTAAATTAAAAATAGAAAAATAACATTAATACCTTAAATATTGATCATAAATTAAATTCAATGAAAATCGAGGTTAAGAAGAAAAAAGAAATAAAAAAAAGATTTACTCACGAAAAGTTATTTCCCAAAGCTGAAGGTTTCCAGCAAGCCGTAAAACACATAGGAAGTATTGAAACTGCTGAGTGGAGCGAAAATGTGCTGGCAGAGACGGAGAAAGCACAAAAACGAAAAGAGAGCATACGCGTCTCCGGACGGGAGAATAGTCAGAATACATGTACCAAGGAAGAATACGGATCAGAGAACTACTATACAGCCATACGAATCACATATAATTACAAAAATACCCGGATGTACATGTACATCCGGGCGTACGGTATAATTTGTGTGTTTTGTATTCCCTGAATAGAAGTAAATTCCTGCCAAGTTTGGCATTACAAGGCTTTTAAACATGACATTTTTTTCCAAACTTGACAGATTACTCTTATTCAGGAAATAAAAAACATGTTACTCCTATTTTCGAATTTCAAAACGTTTTTACTCCTATTTAGGGCAATTTCTGATATCTTTATTTTTATCTTTATATAATATAAAGTAACAGTCATCGCACAACAATTGGAGGGAAAAATCCCGCCTAAATTAAGGATATATTGGGAAATTATTTTAGAACGTATAATATGTACTCCCTCCGTCCCAGAAAATTCTTACAACTTTCCTTTTTGGGACGCCCCAGAAAATTCTTCCAACTTCACCTTTTTTATTATTTGTGTGGCTCACATTAATTTCACCTTTTTCTTACACAACTACAACCATACATTTCTACTTTGTTCCACTACCTAAATATGCGATCCAACTCAAAGTTGGAAGAATTTTATGGTAAGATGGAATTGCTTAGCATTTAATACATTTATTAAGAATCTTTAACAACCGAACGAGGTATATATAATATATTAGAAATTTAGAACAATTAAACTCTAAGTCTCCAACAGTCCGACCTGTTATATATAAAAAGTTTATACAACAAATTAAACTAAAAATAAAAACGTGTAAATTTGCAACCGATATATTAGATCTTCAAACCTGCCATAAAAATTCCCGAAAAATACCAAAAAGGAAGTTATGAATTTTGTTATATTTTTTTAACGATCGGTGTTCAAATAAAAAAGTTGCACCACTTTAAAAAACTAAAGTTGCACCACTTTAATTATTTTTTATTTTATATGCAATATTAGTGTCATATGAAAGAAAATAAAAAACTTACAACACTGTCAAAAACTGAAGTCTTTTTAAAGTTCTTAATTATTTTTTATTTATATATATATGTATATTGGTGTTATATGAAAGATAATAAAAGTTATGAGTTTTGATACTTTCTGTAACAATCAGAATATAAATATAAAAGTTGTGCCACTTTAAACAAAATAGGTGTTGTTAATTTGGTGTAACCACATTACTAATGCTCATGTTGGTCGAGTTGTTATAACATTTGCCTAAACCGCCAGTTCAAGCGGCGGTTTTCTTAACTCAAGATTGTCCCAATAGTATTTTCGAAAATACTTTTAACCCAACACTAATTTAGAAATTATTTTTTTATTTAACATTATTTTCAGAAAAATCTGTTATATTATCCAATTCTAAGTTACAGAAAATACAAATAAAAATACCAATGAATATAATGATTTACGTAGTATTTTCTAACACCGCTACCAAAAACAATCATTATATAGTATGGATGTTTTTCAATTCATTTGAGTTTTTAAATCTCATATCAAGCTAAATTAGATTTAAATAATAGACCATATTAGAGCATACACAACACCATATTCAAATGGGCCAGATCAAACCGGAAAATATATCATTCAAATAAAAAACATCATACCTTTAAAACTCCAATCCAATCAAATACATCCAACAATAAAAAAAATATTTATTAGAGATTATATATTTAACTACCCATTATAGTAAGCTATTTTTAATAATATCTATAACATATAGAGCCTTTTTTGATAGAATGATGCAACAATAACAATAACAACAATAACAATAATGCTAATAAAGGAAAAGTATAAAAATTTATCATATAGTTTGGTGCTTACAAGCAGTAATTGACCATTATCGACTTTCTTTGTATATTTTATGTTAACATTAATAAGCTTATCTTCAATTGTTGCTAGCACTTGTCCTTCACTTTTGAGGAATAACTAATCATCATATTTTTATCAATATTTAACATTAAATTATTTTTTATTTAACATTATTTTGGGAAAATATATGTTATATTATCCAATTCTAAATTACAGAAAATACAAATAAAACTACCAATGAATATTATGATTTACGTAGTATTTTCTAACATATATGTCAATACAATATATCACCATTACCAAAATTAATCATTATATAGTAAGGATGCTTTTCATTGAAATTTTTAAATCTCATATCAGGCTAAATTAGACTTTAATAGACCATATTACAACATACTTAATAAAATTACACAAGATCATATTTAAGTGGGCCAAATCAAACCGGAAAATATATCAATCAAATAAAAAACATCATACCTAAAAAATTCCAATCCAATTAAATACATCCTAACAATAAAAATCATATTTATTAAGAGATTATATATTTAACCCCATTATAATAAGCTATTTTTAATAACGTCTATAACAAATAAAGCTTTTTTGATAGAATGATACAACAACGACAACAACAACAATAACAATAAGTATAATAAAGGAAAAGTATAAAAATTTAGGCTAAAGGGTCAAATAGACCCTTGAACTGACTTAAAATGTTCAATTAGCCCCTTATATAGGAGGTTCTGCCCGGCTGTCGCTAATTGGGGCGGTTCCCGGTGAAATTTTTTGATGAAATTTTTTTAGCATCTTTTTCATTAAGTCTAGTTTACCCATACCAAATTTTCATCTTCCCGGTTGAATTTTTAGATGAAATTTGGTATGAGTAAACTAGACTTAATGAAGAAGATGCTCAAAAAATTTCATCAAAAAATTCCACCGGGAACCGCCCCAATTGGCGACGGCCGGGCAGAACCTCTACAAGGGGCCTATTTGACCCTTTAGCCAAAAATTTATCATATAGTTTGGTGCCTACAAGCAGTACTTGACCATTACCGACTTTCTTTGTATATTTTATGTTAATCTTAAGCTTATCTTCAATTGTTGCTAGCACTTATCCGTCATTTTTGTGGAATGACTGATAGTCATATTTTTAGCAAAGAGCTATTTTGACACACACAAATTATGTTGTAGAGCTTATCAATATATAGTTGTATGCTTTCATGTATGCCTGGATAAATGAAGACATATTTGCGTTTTCACAACCCACTTTCACTCTAAGACGACATTGGCGCGGACTCAGATGAAATGCATACTCAAGAGATTTTAAAAACCATCATTACATGAGAAGCATTGACCAGTACCATCACTTATGTAATGAGACTTGCCTGATTATTACTCGGTTGAGTAAATGCGTTTTGGAGGCAAACGTTATATCCGACAAAAGTATTAGTCAAGAAGTTTTGAATTGATTCCATGATTATCATTGGTCCTGTTAGATAGCATGATGTCTTCCAAATATTAATACAGGTAAACCCCAATGGTTATTTCATTCAATTGTCATGATGATAAAAAAAGTAAGGACAATCTCTGTGCCAAGTGTACATACATCTTCTAGAGTATGTCTTTACGCAAAGTCAATTACTTGTAACCATGTCAAGGGTTATGAAGTGAGTTGAAGAATCAAATATGTGATGATGAGAGTCATGTTATCAACATCACTAATAATGTGGTCTATAAAGAAGTTTATAGACATTTTAATACTTTATGATACTTTTTGTATGTGTTTGAAATTGATTATGCTTCTACTTCTTTTCTAAAAGAAGTCATAAAATTGATTTAATTTTTCAGAAGTTGGTTTTCCCGAACTTCTAAAAAATCATTTCTAGGAGTAATTTGGACCATTTAGAAGCTAAGTACTTCTACCCCTTCACTCAAACACTCCAATATTCATTTCTGCACCCTCAGAGAACAATAACAGTTTTAAGAAGTAGATCCAAACACCCTCTATAAACATTTATGGTTCTTCTGTTTTATAGTTTAATGAGACCTACTAATCATTATAATATCATTAATTCCATTATCAGTTCTGTGAGGCCTCAAAAATGAAGTGTCATCATTTATTAATTCTAATATCACATGAAATTTATTGTTACACCTTATCGTTTATTTTAATTTTTAATTGCAATTTTTAGTACAAAACAATTTTTTATTTTTTATAGGTGCTATTACATAATCAAAGATAGAATATACTACATATAACTCTATTGTCACTATTGTCTTTCGCATTTGACAAAAATAAACATTATATACCAACATAAAAAATACTACATACAGTTTTGAATGAATTTTTATTTTATTCTAGATACACCCGTGCACCGCACGGGTACTACGTCTAGTAATTATTATTATTGTTGTTGTACTACTACTGCTACTACTACAATTATTATTGTTAGAGGAAAGGTCCAAAAATGACATTAAGGTTTTTAATGAAGTTCGAATTGGACACTAAAGTTTTAAATGGATCAAATAAACACAATTTTAATCCTTTTGAATCCATTTGAGCCACCCTTTTAACATGTCCGTTAGATAACCCTCCTTGCTGTTAATCAATGCAACCTAAAAAATAGAGTTTATGTGGAAAACTGACGCGCCGCCAGCAAGCTCTCATGGGAGTCCTCATATGGATTTGTTTCGGTTTCTTCTGTGATTAGTTTATGATTTCTTAATCGTTATCCACCTCTAAATTTAGGTCCGACCTTGATGGAGGCTGAAAGGATGGTTTTGAGGCCGGAAAAGCAAGAAAATTGGAGATATTGTTCATAGATCTACAGTTCACGTTTGATGTGCATTTGGAATCAGGTCCCTATTTCAGACGAGTGTTACTGAAATTGGTGAGTGGTTTGGGAGTCCTCATATCGGCGCGCAGCTACCCAGGCGTTCATCCAGGGTGTGGGAGTCGGTTAGCCGGAATACCGCTTATGCGGATTGAGCGGTTTGCTGCTCATCTGCGATTTCACTTCCCAGGATTTCTTCTTGCGTACTTCTCCGTTCCTGTTTGTAAGGGTGGTTTGGAAATAGCCACAATCAGACGGGCTTGGGTCTACGTCAAGTGTTGTTTGCTGCACTTGCATTGGGAGAAAAAGAGCCAACCTATTGTGACTTCTGATGGGAGGATTGAAGCAAGAAGTGATGAGGCGAAATCCATAGCTAATGGAATTGTTCTGACTTGTGACTTCCGGCGTTGCTTCTGGCATTCTGACTTTTGGCTTCGGCGTTGCTCCCGGCGTTCTAACTTCTGACTTTCGGCATTGCTTTCTAGTGGCATAGAATGGAACAAAATAACGGAGCAGTTAAATGGGTGGTTGAAATGGAATCAAAAGGTTTAAATTTGTGTTTATTTGGTTCACTAAAAACTTTAGTGTCTAATGCAAACTTCATTAAAAACGTTAGTGTCATTTTTGAGCCTTTTCCCTTATTGTTATGGTCATTGTTGTTATTATACAATCATTTTTTTTAATTTACTACGGAGTACTACATATGTTTTGAAATAATATATTTATTTGTAACATGAATTTTTTTTGGCAACTAGCTTACTAGCCACTATTTTGTAGGATTACCAAAAAAACATACCTTGGATTTTAAATACTAAGGATGTTTTCTTTTGGACTGTTTTCAGTCCCAGACCAGATCAGATTTCCGTAGTTATAAAATACACAGAGACCAGACATCTAATAGATCAGATCAGACCAGACCAGACCAGACCAGCAAATTTCAGTCTAAAAGAAAACATCCTAACAACTATGCATTCATTTTTAAATATTTTATGTCTCCATATGAGATTTTGTTTAGGTTTTTTCTTGAATATGACTTTGTTAAAGTTCTAAAATATTCTCTATATCCCTTAAGACTTTGCCAACTTTCCTATTTGGTTGACCCATTAACCTTCCACTTTCCGTTTAAGTAAAGAATTTGTGGTTCCAATTAATTCTCCCTCCTCTGCACAAACCTCTAACACACAGTTTTTCCTTATTAGGATGTTTTCTTTTGGACTGTTTTCAGTCCCAGACCAGACCAGACAAAACTAGATCAGACCGCACCACACCAGATCAGACCAGACCAAACAAGACTTCTGAGTTATAAAATACACAGAGACCAGACGTTTACCAGACCAGTTCAGACCAGACCAGACTTCCGTAGTTATAAAATACACATAGACCATACGTTTACCAGACCAGTTCAGACCAGACAGACCAGACCAGACCAGACCAGCAAATTTCAGTCCAAAAGAAAATGTCCTTAATCCCCGTGCCGGTCAAACTTGGCAAAGTTTTAAGGGACAAAAGTAGTATGACTAAATTGTAACTCATTTCAAAAAAAAGTGATCGACTACTTCACATATGCATTGAATGGACAAAAAATGTGATTAATAAGTTAATAAATTTGGAAAAATATGATATCAGTGTCAGATGTTTATGTCATTGTCAAACTTTTATGTCACTATAAATTTTCAAAAAAAATGAAGAAAAAAAGTTTAAAGAAACTTTATTAAAAAAATCAAGACAAAGTTTTTTGCATTAATATTTAAAAAAAGTGGATTGATCATGGCAAGTATTGCACCCATCCCTGCCTCCGCCTATCGAACTAATGCTACACACCAGCTCACTCTTGCCACCACAGTGAACACGTCAGCATACACATGTGAAGCCTGAAGCCTAGCATGCATTGTGATGGAATATAATTCCAGCGAAGAGAGCTAAATCAATCAAATATTCATTGATCGTGAGAAAGTAATAAGAATATTATTCACGTGAAGAGAGACCCCTTTTATTCATGCCCAAGCCGCGGCCTCCAAGAGGTCCATGCCGCGGCATCAAAAAGATCCAAAAGATCCATGCCATGGCCTTCTACTCAAAATTTAATCAAGTCATGTGGGTATATAGTGAAGAGTATCTTATATACCACGTACACGTTTGATTTTTGCTATGACCTCCTCTTCCTTTGCATCCCCACCATATAAGATACCACAGTATCTTATATACCACATGTTGTCTTTTTAATAAAATCTGGTAAAAAATGCCCAACTCTTACACCACCGATTTTCGTGGTTTGCCTTCTAGGTTAATAAAAAGTGGTTTCAGCTAATAATCAAAATTTACATTTTATGTTCTCTTTAAAAATTAGTTGCTTGACCTAACATTAAGGCAATGAGTATTTAGTTCATAGTCTAGATCTATTATTATTATTAGAGTCCGTTTGATAACACTGAAATTGACTGAATCGGCTGATTTCGTTGAAACTTAGGAAGTTCTAACTGAAGTGGCTTGTTTGGCTAATTCTACTGAATTATGAAAAAAAATTAAAATACATTTTATTAATATAATAAAGAAAAATATATAAGTAAATAGCTAAAATTGTCCAGTCAATAACTCAAGCCAATTCAATCGAAAAAGTAATTTCAAACTTACTTATTTTGATTATAAAAAACTCAGCGCGTGAAATCAAAAGTTACATATTTGATGAAAAAGTTGACTGATAAGACTACTAACCTGATAAGCCGGGAAAAAAGGTCACCGACACTTAATATAGTTAAGAAGTTATGTAAATTATGAAGAGGATTTATATAAAATATTATATATATATATATATATATATATATAATTATATATAAAGTGGAATTGTCTATTTAATAAAATCTAGTAAGAAGTGAGTTTGCCTTCTTGTTATTTGCCTTCTAATTTTTGTGATTTACAAAACACCCCACTGATTTTCGTGATTTGCCTTCTAGATAAAAAAAAAGTGAGAATCTTTTTTCAGTCCTTCCGGACAGCTTTTCTATGCAGCCAAAACATAATGCCCCCGTTTGTTTTTCGACGGTTCAGTACCTACACGCAGCTAAAAGCAGCGTTTGTAGTTCAATAAAAAATCAACATTTTGTTGAAAACGCCATTACCCAAAAAGGGCGAATAACTATCAGATTATATAAAGGGTGCAATGACTTCTTTATTATGGAGTAAAATAAAGGAAAATAACTCTAAATAGGAGTAAACTAATCCCTAAACACAAATACGACCATGTTGTTTATCTTCCCAAAATAGGACTAATAATAATAAAAAATTTAAAAAATTAATGCTCCTAATAATAATAAAAATTAACACTTTTTAAATATATAAAAACTTTAAAAAATATAGATACAACCTACAAAAAATACATAAAACAATTATGTTGGGCATAAAAAATTAACACACAATTCTTTGTGTGAAGCTTTTTTTACCTTTTTCATTTATTCAATTTTTTTGTAAACTATCCGAACAAATCCTTGGTTTAATATGCACATGAGTTGATAAAAAAGTTATACTTTTTCAGTTTTTTGAGTGGGTGGGTAACTGTTTGTTAGGGCATCCCCATTCATGAGTTTATTTTGGGATTATTTTGATGATGTGGATGATATTTTTGAAGATCATGATTGAGAAGGTAGGATTATTTGGAGAGATTATTTGAAAGAAAAATCTGGTATCAAATATTAAAACCCGGATTATTAGAGATTATTTAGCTTGTTTTTAATGTATGACTCTTGAGTTTCGCGAACATGCGTTTTAAAACTAGAGAGCTGCACACCTTAAAAATTATCTACCACTAAAACTATATACTACTCAGTACGTGTTTTTTTGAAGGAATATACACCACGTGTTGAGAATAGGAAAGTTGCTTCTGTTACACACATTCATTAAAATAAAATAAAATAATGTATATATTATAGTAATTGTGATTGAGTGTATATTAAAAAAACGTGTGTGTAATTTATTTATGTATATATACATGTAAGCGTACATGCATATTATATACTTCGTGTAGTGTGTAGTAAGAGTATTGTGTGTATGTAGTGGGTGCATGTGAGTACATTTAATTAGGAGATTTTGAGTTTAAGTGTATGTATGTCTCATAAAAATTTGAATATATATATAGAGATCATGGTTGAGGAGAAGTTGATAAATTTTGAGATTTTTTATGTGGCAATGACATGGCAATATTAAACCATAAAAAAACCGTAATTTTTGGGAGCATGAATGGAGATGCTCTTACATGCTTTAGGATAGGATTGAAGACTTGCAGTGAGTTGATCGAGTCCGTATTTTATGGTTGTTTTAATGTGAACATTTGTTATTAGAAATAATTACATAAATATGATCAAAATAAAGATGATTTATAAAAGTATGACTAATTACTAAAGTAGTAAAGAAATCATAGTAATTCATGTTCAAGTTTTGAACTTAAGTTACCACAAAACTATGTTGTAGTAATGAATAGTCATATTAATGTAAATAAGTTTTATTTTAATAATATTCTTGTAAAAAACTCTTGTTATTATCTAAAACATTCCCCACTTTAGTTTTAGTTATAAATAATTATGGGTAAAATATAAAAGAAATATTTCCCACTTTAGTTATAAATAATTATGGATAAAATCTAAAAGAAATCAATTGTAATGATTGGACTCAATTGCAATTTAAACACAAATCAATTTCAATTGAGATGACTCTACTTTATTAGTACTAAAGTAGATGGAATTACATGCCTTTCAATTTCTCAGTTCCTAATTTTTCAATTTCTCAATCAAGTGTTCTACTCCATAAACCCGCAACAGTGATGCAGGTTTATCAATCTGAAATTACATGCCTTTCAATTTCTCAGTTCCTATTCACTTGGTCAACACAAATCATTCTTAATCTCATACTTTATATATCAAATTTTTATTAAATTTGATTCTGGTTTTTGCGACTTTGTAAAGTTTTTAATGTAGTTTCTGAATATCTATTTTTTTTAAAAAATAATTTGAGTGTGAACAGGGATCTGTTTGCTTTATGGACGGTCAAACATCGTAAACCGTAACGAGACTATCATTATGGGACGTTACACTAGTAGAAAAAGGGCTTATAGTGACACTAAATTAGTGTCACTGAAAGTTTTTATGACACTAAAAAAGCGTCGGGAAAGGTGGGGGCTAGTGACACTAAATATAGTGTCACTGATCGTAAAACAAATAAGTGTCAGTAAATTATGACACATTAATGTGATGCAAAATTATGACACATTGGTATCATAAAACGTTGTGACACCTTGGTATCATAAAAATTTACGACACATTGGTGTCATATATTTACAATAATATTATTATTATAATCATTGTAATATTTCGTTCTAGTTTTATTATAGATTATATAAATATTAATAAATAGCCAAAATAAAAGAACAATAATTGTATTTATTACTCAAATTATTTTACAATGTCAATATCAATAAAGTATACACACGTAGTGTATTACAAGATGCTATAAATCTACACTTTAATCATACAACATTTTTATATGCTACACATTAGACATCATAATTCTTTGCATCACCATCGTAATCCAATAAATCAAGTCTTTAGAGTACTTCTCCATATCTGGATCAACATAGCCTGCATGATGTTTTTTAACTTTGCAACATTATAAGTAACAAAAATGAACAAAATAAACCCACCA